GCAATTATAAAAATCATTGTTCAATGTTTTATTTAATCCCAGAAGCATCTACATACTCATATGCAGATATATTTCTTTTACTGAACTTTGGAGACAGTGCGTGTTTTACGAATTGAAGGTTTGTAGCAACCCTGTGTTGAGCAAGTTTATTGGCGTCATTTTTCCAACAACTCAGACGATAGATAGTTAGCATTTTTAGCAGTAAAGTATTTTTAAATTAAGGTATGTACATCATTTTTAAAGACAATGCTATTGCACACTTAATAGACTACAGTATAGACTACTATAGTATAAATATAACTTTTATATACATTGGGAAATAAAAAATTAGTGCGACTCTCTTTATTCTGATACTCGCTTTATTGTGGTGGTCCGGAGCCGACTCGCAATATCTCCGAAGTATGCCTGTATTTGAAAAATGGTGGCACGCATGAGTGAGACATTTAGTCTACAGACAGTGTATAGCATAGTGGTTAGGAGCTTAGACTCTGGAGTCAGAACCAAGTTTGAGTCCGTTGCTTGCTAACTATAACTTTGTACAAGTTACTTGCCTGTCTGTGTCTCAGTTTTCTCATCCGTAAAATGTGAATATAATTGTACCTACCTTGTAGATCTGTTATGTGGATTATAAATGAGTTAATATATGTAAAAAGCTTGGAACAGTACCTAGCACATTGTAAGCACTGAAAGTGTTTGCTGTCATAATGATAATGCCATGCTATCTTGTATATAACGTGCAGTAAATTCAGAGACCTTCTGATTAAGTTTTTCTTCTATTGTTCTTAGATTCTTATTCTGATGAATAATTATTGGGACCTTTGAATAGTCTGTTATTAAAAAAGATAGTGTTATTTAAATTTGTATTTTAATACAATTTCCTTCACCTTCTTTGACATCTCTGCCCACCTTGCCAACACATGCCTTAGAGTTATCAGTTCCCTTCTTCTTTCTTACTTATGGTTCCTGGGGAGAACTATGTCCTAATTCCCTATGGAATCATTTATATGTAGTAAATTAACCTCTCTCCTGTGCATTTACAGTGGTACTAGTAATGTGCCATTCTTGGGAGAATTGACAAAGTAGTCATTCACATGATCTTCTGTGGTTCAGATGAGGAACCCCAATTGTCAGAGGATATACATATCAGTTTATCTTGGCTGCAGTTTATCATGGTGGTAATGATGGCAGAGGCTGCTTTTGTCTGCCCCCCAAAGTCTCCCTTGTATTATTTTAATAGACTATTTTTTAGAAAATTTTAGGTTCACAGCAGAAAGTACAGAGATTTCCCACTGTGTTTTTAAAAAATCTCTGTAGTCTATCATTAAGCATAAAGTCTGGCACATGGAAGAGTAAATAAATAGAGCATTTTCAAAATGGTTTAATATTTTTTTGTTTTAAGAAATTCTTTGCTACATTGAGATCTGTATTTTCTTCTATACATTTTAAAGTTTGTCTTTCACATTTGGGTGTGGAATAGACCTAGAATTTATTTTTCTGTTTGGTGTGATTAGAGGCTCTGTTTGCTTTTGCTGTATGGTATGCCCAGCATCACTGACCGAATAGTTCTCTTTTCTTCCAGTCAATTTTAATGTCATGTCTTCATGTCTTTTTTTTTCTGTATATGCCTAGATTTGGGTCACAATGCTGTTTTCTGTTCCTTTGATCTATTTGTCTATCCGTGCATCAATACCAAACTGTCCTAATTATTTTATAGCTTTCTAATTCATAATATCTGGTAGGATAAGTCATTTTACATTTTATAATGCTATTTTTTCCCTTGTTCTTCCACATATGTTTTAGAATCAGCTTATTGGGTTCTTTGAAAAACCTTGTTAGGATTTTCATTGGAATGTATAGATTAATTAGGGGAGAATTGATATCTTTATGATGTCATTCATCATTCACTTAATATGGAGTACCTTTGCATACTGGGAACTGGGAATACAGCAGTGAACAAAACTCACAAATATTCATGGACTCATGGAGCTTACATTCTAGTGGAAGGATAAAAATCATAAAGAAGATAAATTATATGCACTCTTATTCACAATAGCCAAAAACTGGGAACAATCTAAATGGCCATCAAATGTATATTCATACAATGGAATACTGCTCACCCATAAAAAGGGACAAACTACTTATACATGCAATAACACAGACCAGTCTCAAAAATATTGTACTGGGTATAAGAAGCCAGATACAATAGACTACATACATATTATGTGATTCCATTTATGTGACATTTCTACAAAAGGCAAAACCATAGCGATAGAAAGCAGATCATTGGTTGTCTGGGGCTTGAAATGGGAACAAGGATTGACTGAAAGGGTGCGAGGGAACTTTTTAGGTGCTACAAGTGTTTTAAAATTGGATTATGGTGATGGTTGCACAACTGTATAGATTTACTAAAACTTATGAATTGTATACTTAAAGTAGGAAAATTTTGTGGTATGTAAATTATATCTTAATAAAGTTGTGTAAAATAATTATTTTATGCCAACACAGATGAACCTTGAAAACATGCTAAGCCACAAAGAAGCCAGTCACAGAAAAACCCCACATGTTGTATGATTCCATTTTTGGGTGATCGAGAGGGAAATAGGAGTGACTTGCTAATGTATAGGGTTTTTTTTCAGGGGGGGGGGTGATGAAAATGTTCTAAAATTGTTGTGGTGTTGATGGTTGCACCACTTTGTACATATACTAAAAACCATTGAATTGTACATTTTAAATGGGTGAAATGTATGGTATGTGAGTTATCTCAATAAAGCTGTTACAGAAAGGACATGAAATTATATGCTATATATGAGTGGGAGGCACGTGGTGGTGAGGGTGCTCAGGAAGGCCTCTCTGAAAAGGCAACAGTTGAGCAAAGACTCAAAAGAGATGAGGGCTTGAACCATGTGGATCTGGGGGAAGAACTTTCTAGGAAGAGAGTTTAATCAGTAAGAGATCCAGAGAAGAGCATATCTGGCACGTTTGAGGAACAATTGTGAGGCCAGCATGGTTGAACTAGAGCAAGCGAGGAACAGAGCCGTAGGAAGTGATGTTGGGAGATGTGATAGTGTAGGGCCATTGTAAGGACTTTGGTTCTTGCAGTGAGCGAGCTGGGGTGTCAATGTAGAGTTTTGAATAGAGGAGTGACATAGGTTCTTAACGTGGCTGCCGTACTGAAAATAAACTGAAAGGGAGCATGGGAGGAAGCAAGGAAACCAGTTAGAAGGCAGCAATCCAGGAGAGATAAAAGTGACTTGGACCAAGGTTGAAGGAAGAAGTGGTCAGTTTTTAAATATATTTTGAAGGAAGAAGCAACAAGATTTGCTGACAGATTGGGGATGAGATAGGAGAGAAGGAGAAGTGTCAAAGAAGCTGTATTTTTTTAGCCAGAGAAACTGCAAGGGGGAAGGTTGAGGATAAGGCAGATTTTTTGGGGGGAAATGCCAATTCTGTTTTTGACACATTAGAGAAGCCCATCAGACATTCAGGGACAGGCTTGAGTAAGCAAATTAGATATCTAAATCTGGAGTCTAAGGAAGAGGTCCTCAAGTAAAGATTGTATTTAAAGCTACGAGTCCTTCAGTCCACCAACGCAATATACTCATACTTAATAAAACAAGGCTTTATGGTCCCTTAAGATCGGCTCTTAAAAACTGTTAACTTAACCTTCCCCTGCCTCCAAAGAGAATAAATATGTTAATTTTCTTGTATTTCAGGATCTTCAAGATGAAGTTCAGAGGGAGAATACTAATCTGCAAAAACTGCAGGCTCAGAAACAGCAAGTACAAGAACTCCTTGATGAACTGGACGAGCAGAAAGCCCAGCTGGAGGAGCAGCTCCAGGAAGTCAGGAAGAAATGCGCTGAGGAGGCCCAGCTGGTAAAGCCTGACCTTACTGCTGCGGACCTGTACCTTAGTGGCTTTTCCTGCTTCGTCTTGTTGTTGTTAGGTGGCAATCGAATCAATAGTTTGGGCACATGAAGGAAATGGACCATGGTTCATCCAGAAATTACAGGCCCCCTTTAGGGAAAATAAAGCATTTAATGTCTTTTCCAAATTTTAGTTATAAGTATGGGACCTGTGCCTTCAACTCCCCTCTATTTTATCCCGACTTTCCCATTTCTATAAAAAATGTACATCAAAAATCCACCAAAATAGTAAACTAAACAAATAAATGTATTGCATTATGGACATTTTAATGACATCTTTTTCTCCAATCCCCGTCTTCTCTTTCACCTCCATATTATAGATCTCATCCTTGAAAGCTGAATTAACTAGTCAAGAATCACAGATCTCCACTTATGAAGAAGAGCTGGCCAAAGCCAGGGAGGAGCTGAGTCGCCTACAGCAAGAGACAGCAGAACTGGAGGAGAGTGTGGAGTCGGGGAAGGCTCAGCTGGCACCGCTGCAGGAGCACCTGCAGGATTCTCAGCACGAAGTCAGTTCAGTAAGTCTGTACAGCAGCTGGAAGTCACAAGTGNCCAGATGGACCCATGTCCTTTTGGGGAGTCCACTTCATAGTTGATGTAGAGGCAATGAGCTATTTTTAAAGAAAGTTGGACATTTGGAATAGGAAGAAACAAAGGCAGAAAAACCCATTATGAATCAAAGGAGAGACCTGTATTTATTGAGAGACAATGCCAGGTGCATATCTAAACCTATATCTCTATATTTGAGTATGGATCAGTTAACAATATAGATAAGGTTAAAAATTTAGGCGTAAAAAGATTTAAGTGGTGCTGGTAAATTAATGATAAATTACTAGTGGAGCACCTCATTATGAATCTGTAATCATATAGACTCATGGAATGTTGGGACCAGAAGCGTTTTTCATAACCATCTGTTGTGTTGGCCCTTTTAAAAGAATTTTTTAAAGAAAACAGCATGAGTTATACTTTTAGAGTTAATCAGTTGATTGAGAAAATATCAGATAAAAAGCAATTATAAGGGCTGGCTGAGTGGCTCATTGGTTAAGAGCTCGCTCAAGAGTTTGAGCTCTGAGCAACAGCGGTTTGAGTCCAGCCCGAGCTGAGCAGCCGCTGAGCTGCCAACAGGTAGCAG